CTTCTAGAAATCGTAGTTTGTCACGTGGTTGGAAAGAACATACTATAATTTAATCCCATATATAAGTTGGAGGTGCAGGTGCGAGAACCATTCTCTCTCTCTCTCAAGGCATTGGGAACATGAGAAATTCCGGACACTACCCACCGTTATCCTCGAGACAAAATGTGGAGAATATTCAGAGATGTGGAGAATGAGACGCTCGTTGGGTACCGTGTGAGGCCCACCAAAACGTTCGTCAATGGAAGTATGTATGGAGCCGCCTCACCTTCCTTCCCTCCTTCCTTCCTTTGTATCTTTGCTGTTGGCGTGAATTATTATTACGTGATAAAATTTCACATCCAATGTAAAATAAAAAAATTTATGAATTAAATATAAAAAACATTATTTTATTTATTATTAATTAATTTTAAATTAAATATAAATTTTTTATTAAATTTAAATATATAATTTTCATATGATATCAAAATTTAAATTTTGATTTGAAAATTCATTATTAACTCACCTGATAGCTTAGAACTTAAAATTGATAATGAGCCTACATGTAAAAAGTGTATTAAAAGAATATGTTAAGTAAAAAAATCCTATATAAAATGTAAAATAAAAGAGTTTGTGAGTTAAATATAAAATTATTTTATCTATTATCAATTAATTTTAAATTAAACGATAAATTTTATATTAAACCTATATGTATAATTTTTACAATTATGAAAGACAAAATAGTATTGTGATACACACGGTGCACCTATAATTATTGACAAGGAAAGATCTCTTAAATGTGGGGACTTTTCTACAGTCCAACCCAGAATACACTGCAAAAAGGCGTTCCCATTATGAAAAATACCATAATGATCGAAGTGGAATATTCACCAGTAAATACCCATTCCACTGATCCCATTCTTTTGGCGCCTTTCTATCTTTTTCAATTTTCATATATACATGTTGTGCGATTATCGTCCATCGTATTCATGGCTTACTGGGTCAGCCGTCAGCCTATATTGATATCCTCCTCATTAAAATTTAAAAAGGAAAAGTAATTGATATATGGGTTTTTCTCACTTTATATTTTAAGACATAGGTTGAAAGTTTTGAAAAAAAAAATAATATTTAATTTTTTAATTATTTAATTAAATTTATTTATGTAATATTGATTTTAAAATTAATATTTACTTATATATTTTTTATATAAATTTATTTTAAAAAAATACCCTTAACTTATATCATAAAAACACAAATTAAAAAAATCCTTCATATATTTTTTAGTTTAATATATTCATTGATAATTATTAAACTATTCATTAAAATTTACTATTAAAAGTTTTTTACTTTAAATTAAATTTAAAAATAATAATTTTATAATAAATATATTATACAAGATATTTAATTAAATCGTATATCAATCGTTATTTTTAAAAAAAATTTCGTGGGATTGGGTAGATGATGGATTGCTTCTAAATTTTAACTTTGACTATGCTAGTTATTAATTAAACCTAACCCAGCTGGATCTTTTGTCGTCGTCAAACAAAAAGAAATCGTCAGTCCAAATCTTCCATACTGGCCCGGCGCTCAATATTATTTACAATGCACCTAATTTAAGACTTGGTAAAACTAAGTAAGTATATTATATATATACATTTCACGTACGTCTTGATTGTAACATATTGAACCAGTTAATATGTATACAAGAAAATGTCAAGGCAAACCGACATGACTCAACCAATTGGACATCACCAATCTTCAAAGAAGTAACCCTAATGTTTATACGTGACAATTCATGCTCTTCTTGCTTTAGTTATTATATTTAATTTATTTATTAAGTACTAAATTTGATGTTTGATAAATAGTTATTGTCAAAGAAAAAGATACTCCCCTGGTTCAACTATAATTGGATTAAATTAATTTAAGTGTATTTACTTTATTATTATTTTAAAACAAAATATTTTAAATAATTAGATTAAGGAAAAAAAAGTTAGATTTGGTTTGGTTTAAAATAGTTTGATTTTAATATTTAATTAAAATTATAAATGAATAATGAATATAACTATAATTATGAGTTAAATATTTAAATTATGTTAAATGTAATATATATATATTAACATTTGACTGAGAACAAAGATTGTAACAAAAAATTTAGGACGTAAAATAAATTTTCCATAAATTTTCCAAAAAAAAAAAGAAAGCCCCTTACCCCTCCACTTGCCCTCATGGCGGGATCCTTGCGAAGGGAAAAATTGCCATTCCTACACAAGCACAATCCATCACTAATTTCATGAGGCCCAAAGTGGGCGTTTCTCCTCTTAAACCTCTCAAGCCCATGTGGGAATCTGGGACTACAGCCATTTGGGCCTTGGGCCCTATCCCACGAACAAGAAAAAGAAACCGCATATCCAACGTGGTTAAAAAGGCCGGTAGACGGCCCGACCTGGGTGAGGGTTTAGTAACGTGCATTTGATATTGCAATCGGGAGTTTGACCGTGTAATTATATAATTCTTTTATATATATATATACATACGGTGTTTGAGAATTTTTTTATAAATTATTTTTTTTAAGTTATAAAAGGTTACAATAAATTTATAATAATTTTGTATATAAAATTAAAAATCTCATTCTAGTACTTTTTAATTGTAAGTTTTATGGAGAACACTTAACATTCAATATAATTATAAAATTACTTATTAAAATTTAATTTTATATAATTTAATTACATCGTAATTTAAAATATTTTAATAATTATAACAAATTTAAAAAACTTAAATTATTAAAAATAATAAATATTATCTATTTTAATAATTAAATATCTTACAATATCTTTTATATTTTAATTAATAATAAATAAAATCTATTATATTTCATTCATAATACTTTTAAAAAATAAATAATTAAATACTAAAATAATTTTCAATTACAATTACAATATAATATAATTTAACATCACCACAACTACAATTACAATTATAGCATTTCACACGAATCCAAACGATAACCTAAAACAAAAATGCATGGGACTAGCTAATTAAGGACTTAATTGCTAAAACGAAAAATGTTTGAGGACCAACATTACATCAAAACGCCGACCTTCACCCTCCAAAAGCCGATATGTACGAACCCTCCTTATTCAATCTCACACAACGCCTCATTACCTAATGAATTCCCAAATTACTTGGCGCGGAAGTTAACATGCCTCGCCCTGTTCCTGTGAGGAACAAATCTACGGCTCCGATTCAGATTACGGCGGAGCAGATTCTTCGGGAGGCACGAGAGCGGCGAGATGCAGAGGTTCGTCCTCCGAGGCAGAACATCGCCGATCCGGCTGAACTGGCAGACGCCGGTTTCGTAAAAGAAACGAATTCGAGGATTTAATCCGCCATGGGCGGCCGAACGTTTCCCTTTGGATAGAGTATGTGTACTGGGAAGAGTCGCAAGGGGGAGTTCGATCGAACGCGGAGTGTATGGGAAAGGGCTTTGGAGAGCAGTTACAGCAATCACTCTCTGTGGATTAAATACGCAGAAACGGAGATGAAGAAGGAGTTCGTCAACCACGCGCGCGATGTGTGGGAACGCGCTGTTGCACTCCTCCCGCGGGTGGACCAGCTCTGGTACAAATACATTCACATGGAGGAGATGCTCGGGAATATTGCAGCGGTACGGCGGATTTTTGAGAAATGGATGTGCTGGACACCGGCCCGCTAAGGCTGGTTCTCCTACGTTAAATTTGAGCTTCGATGCAATGAGGTGGAGCGCGCTAGAGCGATTTATGAGCGGTACGTCCAATGCCACCCGACAGCCACGGCATGGGTGGATTATGCCAAATTTGAGATGAAGAAGGGGGAAACTGTATGCCTTAAGAGCGTATTTGAACGTGCAGTTGAGAAGATGGTAGACGATGATGATGCCGAAGAATTGTTTGTTGCTTTCGCAGAGTTTGAGGAGCGATGCAAGGAGATTGAGAGAGCACGGAGTATTTACAAGTTTGCGCTCGATCATATACCCAAGCGCAGGGCAGAGAACTTGTACAAAAAGTTTGTGGTATTTGAGAAGCAGCACGGTGACAAGGACGGGATTGATGATTCCATCTTAAGGAGGAGGAGATTTCAATGTGAGGATGAAGTGAGGAAGAATCCACTGAATTACGATCTCCGGTTTGATTACATATGGATAGGGAGAGAATCAGAGATGTCTATGAGAGGGGTATTGCCAATGTGCCCCCAGCTAAGGACAAGCGATTCTGGAAGAGATATATTTACTTGTGGTAAGTATTAATTTGGATTGATGGCAATTTGCTTGGTGTATGTAACTATATTGTGTTCTTTGACTAACTTTTGTTCATCTGTAAATTAGGATCAATTATGCTTTGTACGAGGAGATTGATGCCAGAGATGTTGAGAGGGCTCGTGCTGTTTATAGGTATGCTTTCACCCTCCAACCCCATGTTGCTAGTACTAGTCCTAGTAGCATCTGTAAATCGCACCCGTTCACATGATGAATTTTTTTTTTTTTTTTTAATTGTCATATTTTCGTGGAATAGTACTGTCATTTAGACTTTTAGTTCTTTTCTGATTTTTTCACATGACTGTATGGTTGAATTTGAAGAGAACCTCACTAAACAAAACTTTTTTCAGGGAGTGCATTAAGTTATCCCTCATGAGAAATTTTCATTCGCAAAAGTTTGGCTCTTGGCTGCAAAGTTCGAAATAAGGCAGTTGAATCTCAAAGGGGCTCGATTGATTATGGGCCACGCCATTGGAAAGGCACCCAAGGATAAGGTAAGACTTAGATCCTGTACCATACTAAACTACTGAAGTTCATGAAAGACCGTTGGAATTTGTTCTTACCATACTTTGGCAATCAGGTTTTTGAGAAGTACATTGAAATGGAGCTAAACCTTGGTAATGTAGATCGTTATCGGAAGTTGCACGAGAAGTATGTAGAGTGCTCACCTGAGAACTGTAATGCATGGGCTAAATATGTTGAGTTGGAGTGCTCTTTGGGTGAAACAGAACGTGCTAGAGCAATTTTTGAGCTCGCCCTCAGCCAGCCAGTCTTGGATATGCCAGAGCTGCTGTGGAAGGTACTGTTTCAATCTTCATATTGGTTCTTGTTCCTGGTTCAGTATTTTTGTCAGTTTAGCTGTTTCTTCAGATTGTGATTAATATGACTTTTAATGATGCGGGCAATAAAACATGCAGATGAACTGGAGGAGTCATTGATTTATGGTGGAAAGAGTGCAGGAATTCGAAGGAGGAGTAGAGAGGTTTCTGAGAGGGCCATTACCAATACCCAAGCTGTAAGCCTTAAGATTCTAGAAGCGGCATTCCGTTGGAAGAAACAGAGGACTGCTTCTAAGGACCCTGGAGAGCCAGAGTAGGGTATTGACAATTGAGATGTCAGTTAAAGTTCCATTATTATGGTACACAGATCTAAAACATCATGCATATTATTTCTATTTTTTCTTGTAAGTGCTAGTAATTGACTGTTCTCTTCTTTACTAATGAAGAAAATTACAAAAGCATTCTCGGAGCATTTTGGAGCATTGCACTTACGAGATACAGCTAGACACCATGGCAGAGTAGTTGTAACAGCCAATGCCTACTTGGCCGAATAACTGGTACATCACCATTTTACTTCTTTTGAACATCGATGATGAGGTCTAACATTTCAAGATTCCAAGGAAAACTGAGAATGTGTTTTTTCATTTTATTTATATACCTGCCCAGGGGATGGTGAGCTGGATTTTCCTTTTGCTTCCAGGATGGAGCTAAACTGAGAAAGATGAACTTCGGCCATGCTGCATCAGATGAGGATGTGAGTATTGGTTTTGTTTATCATGTTGAAATTTCTATGAATTATCAATGTTGCACCCACATGTCATGCATAATCGCATGAGCTATTAATTTCTTCTGGATTGAAAGTAGGTCCTAAAATTGCAGCTCATTTTGACAGTCTGCCTAACCTGCCTAAATTGATAAAATTATAAGGTAATAAGCAAGTAAATGTTGATGGCAAAATAGAATAGTCCTGAAATAACTGATAAGATATGAAATATAGATTTAAGAATACTCTTAACATCAAGAAATAATTCAATTGTATAGTTTTCCTAAAGATTATAAGAAAATCTACTTCCTCTTGTTTTGTACACGGCTGCACAAGATTAGAGGGGTGTTAGGGAGATCAGCAATCTATACAAGCACATTATCCCTTGTTATCCATCCTGCTTACCATTAAACCCACAACACGTGCACGAGCAACATTGCCACGGGAAACATTTGATGCAGCAGCAAGGATTAGAGCATTTTACTTTTGGGCATCTTGGCTTCCAGCAACAGATTATACAGCTAGGTCTCCAACAGCATGAACATGTGGGTAGTGAGGGACATTTCATGCATCTAGGTTTTGGACATCCTGGGCATTTGGGTTTACACAACTTAATCCTAAAACACCTTTTAGAAGTAACTGAGGTGTTATTTGACCTTGCAGGAAGATGGAGACTCTGCCGAATCTTTTTAAGGCGAGTTGCTGTCGTTATGTTCTCCATTTCATGAATGAACTTGCAAAGATGGCGGATGTAATCTGGGTATAGCTCCAAGTTGCAGTGTCCGCCTCCTTTAATCCACAAGGGCTCATATGGCTCCCTTGCCATTTTCCACAATCCATTCCCATGTAGCCAATTAACAACATCATCTTCTGTGCCCTGCGAAGTATTCAATCAAACCATCATAAAATTTGATAACAACAGAAAAATGATTTGAAATGGTTAAAATATAATTATTAGTCAAGACTCAATGCAATCAGGCATGTTAAGATCATGCATCAAATTTACAAAAAGTTAGCTTTATCCAAACCAAGTTGTAGATCAAATAAACCTGGAGATTCAAACATCAAACATACTGGAACCAACTTACAACAAATTATAGCCACTTAGTAGGTCAGAAAGTTAAGCTAATCACAAAGAATGCAGACTATTTATCATGGAATTTAGATAATAACTTCCAACAAACATAAGACAAGATGAATACTCCAGAATAAAAAATCTCAGATTCATAATGTTGACAATTTTAAAAAGTACTTACATGTATTACAAGCACAGGACACTTCACCTTCTGGATTTTGTTAACATTCTGCATTTACATGGACAGTAATCAGCTCAACACAGCAGGAGGAGTATATGAGCGTAAATATAAACGAATTGCTAGTAGTTGAAATCAACAATGTCATTTCCCTTCAAGTAAAACAGAGCAAGATTGATTCTTACCTTATATATGTCAAAACAAAAGGAGAACTTCACATGGCAGAGCACACGAAGACCAGAAAGTATGCCACTGTGAAGAACTACACCTCTTAGCCTTGGCAGCTTAGCTGCCAAATGCAATGTAGGGCCACTTCCAACCGATTGCCCATACAAAATCAAATCTTCCTGGCTAATTCCATACTCAGTCTGAAGACATTGATAAACTGCCTCTATATCAGCATATGTATTTGATTCACTTGGCTGGCAAGTACAAAAAGAAGTAAAATTTCAATTACCTTTAGCTCCAACATAATAAGGCCTTCATCTTATATTACAACTTAAAGAAGCCAAAACAGAAAATGCATTGTTTCATAAGTACAAATACGAACTTTTTATTTCATTTTCATCAATTCTCTTTTGAGATAATATAATCTATTAAATTCTATTTTGCCGCACAACACCGGTTTCTAACACAGCTACACATATTTGGCTTCCTAAATCCTAAAAATACAACCTGAAGCTAGCAGTAAATTTATCTGGGTCCGGGTGGGAAAACTGGAAAAGGGCATACTATAAACAAGAAAGACATTCATCAATTGAACACCATTGGATAGATTCAATTACAAGTGAAGACAACCTACCTTACCGGTAGAAGCTCCATAGCCAGAATAGTCATACCTGCATTGTAGCATTCCAGACAGAGATTAGAGATTAATAATTGCAGAAGAAACCAATAAGGCTGAAAGCCATGCCATTTTCACCATGAATTCAACAGAGTTTTCCGAAAATGGGTGAAAAAGAAAAATGCAAAAACATTCACAATCCACCAAATAACTAAATGTGTAAATCTCAACTCAATTTAAGCAATTTCATGCGAGTTATGGTCACAGGATATCAATGATCTACATGGTAAAAACACAGCACCCGAAACGACAAGAATAATACTTAGGAAGTGAAAGAAAGCCAGACCAGAAGGCACAAAAGTCTAAGAAAGAAGCTCAGCATGAATTCCAATCTATCTCAGTAAATGGAGTAAAAATTAGTGACTTTATGCAGGGGAAATGTAAAAAGGTTAAGATGTAGAACAAGATAAAGCAGAAAAAGACAGTGTGAGAACACAGAAAACTATTTAACCTGTCCTCCTTTAGTCCTTTACCTTCACTTTTTAATTTTTGCAAAAGAGAAACACTGAAAATCATTGCCCACAGAAAAATCTTTAAAAAAAACAATTGATGCATAGTTAAACTGAGATAGGATGATACCAATTGCAGATCTATCCCAGATAAGCCAAAAACAACTAGAGGAGAATGCTAGAAAATAAATCAACTATATATTAAAAAAAAAAGAGAAAAAAAAAGGAGAGGAATCCGATGACAGGATGAGATTTACCACCTTTGAAAAAGGCTGCAAAAAATTTGGAAGTTTTATGGACCCAAATAACAGATAAATAGACAAGAAACACACAACAGGGAAGATATGAAAAAATAGTATGATGAACCAGAGGAAATGCACTTCCCGAAGCAACATATAAACAGTTACTGAAAATTTTTCAACACTCTAATGAACTAAAGGAGAAACCATTTCTTAAGAAAAAGAAATCAAAGTTGGAAAAATCAGAAAAAAAAAAATACTAACCCCATGAGGTTGACTCTGAGATTAACCTTGAGCTGCACAAAGAGATCATAAAGCTGGCCAAGGTCTGCAGCATTGCCATGAGAATAAAGCACAGTGAGTCTTGCATATGGGTTTTTCAAGTAAAAGGCAACAATCTTGTTGCCACGTTTAGTGTCAACCAAGAGCACATCCAAGGAGCTGTCATCAGCAACAGGAATAGGCATGGAAGAAGAAGAAGAGACCACCGTGAGTTTGCCATCCTCACGTTTCTTGATCTGGTATGTGGGTGGGGAAGGAGGAAAGAAAGCAAATTTTGCAGCTAACTGAGAAAACATACACCCCATTCACCCCCCAAGTAAGAGCTAAGGAAACCCAACTCATTGAAAAAGGAAGAAACTTGAGTGCATGACAGAGAGTAAAAAGGAGTAATCTTTGATGGGGTTTTGGTGCTGAGTGAAAGAAAGTAAAGGGTTTTGGCTGTCTGGCTAGATTTCAGCAAGGATCAGGTAAAAGTGTAATAGGGTTGACGGTGCAGATGCAGGGTTCGAGAGAAGGAGACTGTTTGGGTGTAATGTGCAGAGTATGGAGCTAAGGACTCGTGCCTGTGACCAGTGTGGTTTGGCACCACAGAGGAGAGAGAAAGAGAAATTTTGATTCTCAATGAGGGAGAGAGAATAAGAGCAAGGACAAAGCTTTAACTTCAAAACAGAGTTCTCAAATATGTGCATGACTCCATTGCCTGTCAGAGGTACAGGAAGTATCAATCTCTTTTTTTTCGTTTCTGTTTCTTATTTAAGAATTATTGTATATTAAAAATATATAATTTATTAAAATATTTTTAATAAAATATTTTTAATAAAACAATCTAAATTATGATACATAAATTTATATATATATACATATATGATTTTCACTCTTTTTGTCAATAAAAAAATTTATTTTTATTTTGACAACCGACAGTTTTATTATTATTATTATTATAAAAAATAAAATATATTTTAAATTGATTGTATTTTATCTAATTGTTAATAATACCAAAGACTCAATTTTTATTAATAATTAATTATTATTTTATAGTTTATATAAAATAAATTATAAAATAATATTTTATTATAAAAATTTGTTTATTAAATAAGTCTTTAAAATTTTAAAAATTAAAATTATATTTTTTTATAATATTTTAATAAAATAAAATAATTTTAAATTGTTTACCTTTTAAAAAAACTTTAAAGACTCCATCCACAAACACAAATCTCATTTTTTACTATTAAAAAAATTAAAAATAAGAGAATCAAACCCTCCCCGCGATGATATGATGTCGTTTCATTCAGGTTCTCAATAATAACTCAACATCTCAACGCTGAATGAACTGAAACAACCAGATTTTGCAACCTAAACCACCAGTTATTTGCGTATATTGGATAGGACTTGATATCTATTACTTGTAATACTTAAACTATTTAGATAAGCATTAGAGAAAAAAGAAAAATCAAAATGTTATGATTTTTTTTTTTTTTTGAATGAATTTGTAAGAAGTCAGTTCAAACCGTTGTAAAAAAAAAGAGATGCACTTCACGTGTGATCTGAGGTTACTGAGCCGAAAACCTAAGTGCAAAATATTATGATGTTTGGTGTATAAACATTAAGAAGTTTTAATAATTATATTTAAACATTTTGATATGACATTATGAATTTTTTTTCTCTAAGTCTCATATTTAAATTGTAATTTTTTTTTTTTTAAATAGAGAGCATGAAAAGATTAAAGAGAATACCTATAGCTATCAAATAAAGTATCAAACATAATAATTGAGAATTGTTTATAGGATTTGTTCACCTAATTTGTTTACCAATATTTTATATGCATATATTTCACATATTTATTATATTATAAAATTAAATGAATATCCATACAATAATAATTACTATTATTTTTAAAATATAAAATATTATAATCATTTATTTCTTATTATTGTTTGTTGAGAATTGATCCTTCTTAAATTTTGATTGGGTTTAGTAACGTTGGAGGGAAAATGTTTAAATAGGATTATCCTTCTAATTTTTGTTTATTTGTGTTTGGGAAGGGATTTTGCTTGATTCATCTCTTTTCATAATTTAATTTAATTTATTTCTCACTATGTATTGTTATTTGGTTTGAGTACGTAATTTAGTTTAAATTTTCTTAATATGTATATACTAACTTAAGTTTATTTTAATTTGATATATTAGAAACAATTATTTTAATTTAAATGATAATTTAGAGTAAATTATTTTTACAAGTATATAAATGGACCTGCAAATTACCCAATACATGTTAAATTAGATATTTTCTTCATCTATTTTTAATAGATTTAGTTTTATTTTTAAAATTTTTGGATATAAATTTTAAATAAAAATTTAATAATTTATATGAATAATAATTGAAAATTTTTTTCTTCCTATATGAAATTCTTGTTGAATACTTTAATTTGATTAAAATAAAATTTTAATTATATAATATGTTAAATTTTTATTTAAATTTATATTTAAAAAATTAAAAAATTAAATTAAATTTATTAAAAATAAACAAAAGAGAGTATTAAATGTAGGCTTTTGAATAATTAGGTAAATAGAAAATTTAAAATATTACACTTGAAAATTTTCAAATCAAGTAATTGGAAATAGGAGTTATACCTAAAATGTTTGTCTCCACTGGCAATCTTGAAATCTTGATTTGTCGTTTGACTTCTCAAAATGCAAGTCCCGACCCAAGACCAAACGGGACAGGGACAGGCCCAGGCCCACCTGATGACGATGCGGATGACTCATCAAACTGTTTGAGTACGTGCATCCGACGGCTCTCCTGTCCCCACCCCTCTCATTCCTGCCACCTGTCACAACATTAAATTTCATATCAAAGTAGTAAAATTCAAATTATTGCACTTTTATAATGTTTTGTGCTTGAAAATTACTCCATTGTACTTTAATAATTAGGACACTTAATGGCTAGAGGGAAAGAGGCTACCCACACAATATTATTTATTAAGTGATTTATTTTCACATTTTAAATTATATTAAATTATAAAATATATATTAAATCGAGTTTTCAAGTTTAGTGATTTATTTTTCAATTTTAAGTGTTTAGATGTAATTGATTAAGAATTCAACTCTCAATCTCTCATCAATATCTTGAAAAAATATCTCTTTTCTTAAAATTCCTCAATATTCAAAAAAAGAAATTATTAAATAAATTTCAAATATTAGAAGTTCATCTTAATATAATGATTAATGTTGTATAATTTAAAATTTTTATTTGTAGTATACAATATTATATATAACATGTCTTAACA